AGAAATGTAAGATTAGGAATTTCATATCTTTCAAACTTAGAAACACTGCATGTTGAAAACACTGGATAGTGTAAAATGAGCATGAAATAAATCTAATCATGTTGATATAGTAAAGTTTTGACATTCTCAAGAGGTTTGGTTGACTAAAAAAATAAATATTTACTAAGAAATTAAAATATCTAATGATATACACTAATCACCAAGACAGGTATACAAAAAGGTAGAAATAGTCCTTGTCCTGGTAATGTTTACAATTTATGAGGGGATGACAGACATGCACATTATGAAAAGTTACCTGCAAGGACCAAGCTAACCAATACCTCCTAAATGAATGAGAAGTGTAAGTTGTACTTCAATAATTCAGAGATGAACAGTCTCAACTTTCCACTACGAAAGTAAACAAGCGATTTCCAGAGAATATAAAAATTTTGATTGAATTGCGAATAAAAGAATAGCAGGTTCAAATGTGGAAAAGGCTTGTCAGACAGGTGAAGGTGTTTTATGTGTATGGGAATGTAGATGAGAGAAGAGAGTTGGGGAATAATGGGAACCAAAGATAACAGAGGTGCTGCAGTCAAGTGTGAGAGGACCTGGCAGTTGCCCAAAGAGTTTGAAGCAGTAGAAATAGAAACTCATCAAAGTTTTGAGAAGGATAGTTAACGTGACCAAATGCTGGTTCAAGAACCTTTTAATTGATCAAAGAGTAACAGGGAATTTGACAGGAATGGAGCCTGGAGGAATGGAGGTCAGTTAGGAGACTGTGGTCCACAAATGAGGGGATGAGGGAGTGATGTAGGATGGGGCAGTGATATTAGGAAGGAAGAGATAAAAGCTAAAGGTACAGCGATCTTTTATACCTAATAATGTATATCCAGCCTGGGGGGAGAAAAGCATCAAACTCTGAGCTATCTGGGTAAAAAGCAGAATTAGAGAAATCCAGCAAGGGACTCTGTAAATTGGTTTGCTTGTTTGTTTTATGGGAGAAGAGTTTAAGGGGAATGTTGCATTTAAGTTGCTGAAGAAATGCTTGGGGTGGGGGCAGTCCAGTGGGCAGTACTTAGAAATATGGCCCTGGAACACAGGAGAGAATGAAGGTTGCAAGTAAATCTACAGTATTTGAAGCCACAGGGCTGGATATCACCTCTAACAAGATAAAAGATGTCTGAACATAAGGTGAGGTTGATGTCAAAGGGAAGGTTTCCTGAGCATATCAATTTTAAATATCAGTTTAAAGGCAAATTCTCTAAGATGATGTAAGGATATATCATCCTTGCAAGAATTAGAGCTAATATCACTTCCATGAACCCCGTGAAGGACAAATATAATGGAATACAACGTAGATGAAATACACTGCACTGCAGGATTGTGATTTACCTTACAGAGGTCAGAAGTCTCTTTGTCCTCAGCATAGTTAACAACCCAGGGAAATATGGTGGACAAGGATGAGTTTAGGTTTTCCTGGGTCTGGATTTCAACTCTGCTACCATTATCTTAGTTAAGTACCTTAAGGTAAATTTCAGCATCTCATTTGTTGAGCAAATATACTGTGATTATGGGACTAGAGATAATATATGTCCTATATGCCTAGCACATTGTATGCATTCATTAAAGGGATGTTGCCATTATTTATTTTATTTTTATTGTAATTTCTGTTATTGACAATGATAAAACTACATTTCTAAGGGTAGAACTACACTAGTTTCCATCACCAAAGTGACGTATATCAGAGAAAGAAACAGTTCTGTAATGTAATTTTGAGTACAAAGAGAGAACCTAGAATAAAATATATTCATTGATAACATTAGTAGAACTTCATGGAGAAATTACCCATTTATAAGTGATCACTGACTTTACATAGATATGGTCTGAAAGAAAAAGAAATATGTAATTCTATAAACTACAATTCAAAGGAGAAAAAGAAAATGAGTAATGGGTAAATTGAGGACTCTAAAACCTTCATTTACATAGAGAAAATAGTTCATTCTGGTAAAGTATATAAGGAGTTAAAGACCGGTAGGTTTGGTACTTATATACATACAGAATATTATAAAGAACTAGGAATCTTTTATATCCACAGAAGGAAATAAGTTCACTTGCACATGATTTCCAGAAATGAAAGAAATAAGAAGCCTTTGGTAGGTAAAGATTTATAATTCCATGTTTAAAGATGTACAAGTAAAATAGTGGTCCTGTGTCTACAAATTGCTAAGAAATATATTTATGTTTCTATTTGGTGACATAAGACTCAGGATAGTAAAGCAACTACGATCATGGATTCTGGGTCCAGATTTCCTATGTAATATTTCCTATTTCCAGTTACTGGGCAAATTATTTAACTGTAGTGTCCTCATCTGTAAAACAGTACCTAACTAATAGGTCTGATAGGAGAATTAAATGAACTAATACACATAATGAGGTTAAGGAGTTCCTAGCACATGGTAAGATCCAAAAGAAGTTAATTATTTAATATTGTTTATTGTCATTATCACCAATATTACTTGGAATGGAATGAAATTACCTCAGTCAGCTTTTCTCCCTTTCCAAATGTGCCTCACTATATTATTTATGCTCTAAACGGATGTCTGATATTAATTACTATTACAGGCTCTTACAGGGCAGTGTTAACTAAAATTTAAGCAACAATTTTGTCAGTATTGTTTGAAGTGTCCTGTATCCAACAAATGTATATGAGAAGAAGACAAACGCAGGACAAAGACCCTGTGCTAGAAAAAATGTGATGAGGTTCAAATGGTGAAGAGTTGGATAAATGTATATAAGAGGGGGGGGGCAAAGAAAAAGTTTTATCCTAAAGTTTCTCTTGGGTAAACATAAAGAAAAACAATGACATTTCTAAAATCTAAAAAGATTTCTAGTAAGGGATGATGGACCAATTCTCTGGTTTGCGGCTGTTTCCTCCATCTTTGAACACTGGGTGAAGAGATGCCTAATTTTTACATCTCTCATGTCCCATAATAAGAAAGAAAAAGTAGTATAATTATGAACCCTTGCCAAGCCAGGCTCACAAAACCATGTTTGTGGCATCTGTTGACTATCCAGATACCCCAAAGCTGTCCTGCACAGTTGTTCTCTATCATTGTCAGCCTCAGAAGTCCAGAGACAGTCACATGGCTAGGACTGGTAAAGAAGAGTTCAAACCAGTCCATTTTCCCTGGAGCCTTAAACACTTCCTAGACACAAAAATACTCCATTCTTCATGTCTAAGGTATGAGTAGAAGGGAATGGAGCTTTCCAGATTCACTGTGCCCCCTAGTTAAACAAATTTCTAGTTTAAGAATCTGTTGGTCAAGAATGCTTCATTTGATTTGCTCTATACAGAGTAGAAATGAAATACAAATCAATTATTTGGGCCCAATCAAGGCCATATATTTTACAATTTTAACTATAAGGTGTTAACCAGTAAGAAATTCTATAACTGCTCTTTGACACCCAACTTCTACTTCTTTTGTGATTACTTGCTTCCATTTAGCTGAATTGTTTTGTTTCTCACATAAAAGATCAACTAAGAAAACGATGTCCTATCAACTTAACTTAAATCCATTACGTGATGAAAAGTAAATATTTTGACAGAGACATTTCAGAATCAAAACAGAGAAGGTATCTAATTGCTTGAAAATTACCAGATCATATTACAGTAAACAAGTTACATTATGCACCCATAGTGATTTTTAGCATTTGTACCCAAATATCAACGACTGCTAGGGTCAGAGAATAAGTTTTTAACCAATATATTAATGGAGGAAGTTACCCTCCTCTGAGTAACCAAGAGGAAACCACTTTTTAAGGTTTTACACCTTGACTGACACATACTGAAATCTGGTCTCCTTATGTTTAATGAAGAACATTTTTACAGGTAGTATGGAAAAGGAAGGTAAAAAAAAAAAAAAAGGCTTATGAAGCTTTTCTTTGATAAAAATAATTGGTTATGAAAATTCAAACATTATGTCACTATAGAAGCAGTACAGTGATAAGTACAGACATCAAAGTAGTTGTAGGAAATATCTTAAGAATAATATGCATGCAAGGTACATGTGTTAATGTTTTTTCAACAGTTTTAACACAGCCCTTTGATTTTCAATGCCCATTAAAATAATGATATGTCATTATTAAAAAATTCCTAAAACAAAACTTTGGAAACTTATTCCAAGATTATAGGCAAAGAGAATGCCATAGTTTAGTTTTGGTAATGTTTGATTATGAATAATATTATTAAAAAAATCTATTTTATAAATAAAAATTTTGGCACTATATAAGTATAAGTATAAGAAAATTGAAAATCCATACCTTGCAAAAACACACTTTATATCTGTCTGGTACTTTTTTTATATATGTGATATGACAGATGATAAATTAAAGGGATAACAAGTCTTTCCCTTGTTCAAGGGTAATTGCCTTCACAGTGTCACTTGTGAAGATGCTTTCTCCAAATTGTCAGACTAGGTGGTAAGGATGGGGGGATAAATACATGGGCATTATGTAGCTATGGTTATTCTGTGGACTGTATTCATTGACGCCATTAACTAAATAACATGACACAACCTCTATTCACAGAGCTGAAAGTATAGTAAGATTTCTAAGGATAGATTATATCTAATATTAATTAACAAAAATTTTGCAATGTCACACAATCATATTCATGACTTGTAACACCTTCTAAGATTTAAACCATTCACTATATTGCCATTAATATTGTATAAGTGAAACCAGAAACTGAAGAAGTTGAATGGATTCCTCGATATGTCAAAATTAAAACTAATAAATTGGATACAAGAATCATGTCCTTTCTGTTTGATATCATAATCTTGTCTCCCTCAAGATAACTACAATCATTACATATATATATACACACACACACACACACACACACACACCCCTGAACATATATATGTGAAAAAAAATATACATTTGAACACAGAGATATAATATATATTCAGCTACATCTAGAAGAGCTGATGAACCTATAACAAATGTAAAAGACTAACCTGGTGTTACTACTACTCCATTTCCATTGACCACAGGCCTCTCTTCCTCTTCCTCCTCAGGAGGCTCTATGCTTGCTTTCTCCATGTTGCTTACTGATTTATTCCTTTTTCGTTTTCCTTCAGTGCTTGGAGTGGCTCCAGGAAGTATCTGGTCTGTTACATTTAGTAACAATGGTGCTGGTTCTGCTGGAGGCTTTGGGGTACCGTAGTAATTGTCTGTAAATGATACAAAACATATGAAGTTAAATATTTCTCCTACTGGTGTGCATAATTTGTGAAGAATGGAAATTTTATTAACAAATGTGTATCCTAGTTTATACATATATATGTATTTTACATATACATACATACATATCATTTTATATCCTTTTATGTTTTTATATAGGTGTTTATTTGTTGCTTATATTGTATTGGGCTTTAATGCTTAAACAAAGATACAGACCTATCTTCATTTCACCTTAGTGCCAAATCAAAATATAGTCTTAGCTATTAGTTTCATATGACACATAGCAATTTCAAATTAATCAAAAATTTTTATAACAAGCCTTGATTATAATCTTTTTAAAAATAATTATGTCTGAATAAGAGTATGGGTAACTTATTCTTTAAGCAAATCTTATAACATTCTGGAAAGGCAAAGCACATTGTGCTTTTCTCCAGCTTTTAAAGGGCTCTGGCTGCTGTCCTTGATGTGCACAGCATCCTGCCTAGAGCTGGATCTCCACGCCAGTTTAGTGGTTCCCATGACTGCCGACAGTGGGCCTGCTACTGTAATCATTCTTCAGATTACCACAGCTCTTTTTCCCACAGCTCCATGATCTGAGCTACAGAAAACATTTGTTTCCCCCATCAGTCTGTGAGACTTCTAAAAGAGGACACTAATTCCTATTTATCTCTGTCATAAGAGCCTGGCAAACAGTAACATGGAATATATGCTTACTATGTGAACATCTTTTTATATTCAAAGCAAATTACTTTTATGAAAAAAATACTTTAAATTTTTGCTTGGTAAACGACACAGTGGTGTTTTTAAAAAATCAATGTTATGCTTTTAGCATCAATTTCAAACCCATATTGGTGTTTTCAGTTAATTGAATAATTTATGCACATATTTGCTCACTCATTCATTAAAATCTTTATTTAGTACTGACTGTGCACCCAACTCCAGTATACGTCTGAGAGAAAATGATGACTATTAATACAATCCTTGCCTTCCAGATGCTCAGCGGTTTAGTGTGGAAGACAGGCACATTTGACATTAAGCAGATAAGCATTAAAACAGGAAATAGGATTAAGCACTCAATCAAGGAGGCACAGAGGGGGAACCACATCTCATCTGCAGAGGCCACTGAAGGCAACTGAGAAAACAGTGTGCTGTGAAAGAAACCAACCCTTAAGTAGCAGTTATGGGGTCTAGATTTGGATTTTCTATATAACCACAATTCAAGCAAGTTATTTACTCAGTAAGGCTCAATTTCTTCATCTATAAATTGGAATAGCAATACTCGTTACAATCACCTGCGTTCTGGGTTGCAAATAACCAAAACATACTCTAGTTAAATTAAAGATGATAAGGATATGCTGAAAAGGTACGAGATGGCTAGTTGAGGGAAGAGGCTGGAAACCCTTGGGGAAAATGGGCGGAAACAAAGGAGTCCATTGTCGACACCCAAGCTGCGTCTGCTGGCCCCGGATTCTGAAAGCCTAGCAGGTTCCACTACCACAGGCAATAGAATCACAATACTTCCTATCTAATAAATATAATATAAAACTAGTAAATAGTGCTGCATGTCCCGATCAATAATATAATTTTAAGTAGTGTTCTGAGATCTTCAGCGCTTTTTTTTTTAATTGGAATAAAATTGCTTTACAATGTTGTGTTACTTTCTGCTGTACAATAAAGTGAATCAGCTACATGTATACCTATATCCCCTCCCTCTTGGACCTCCCTCCCACCCCACCCCCATCCCACCCATCTAGGTCGTCACAGAGCACCGAGCTGAGCTCCCTGTGCTATACGGCAGGTTCCCACTAGCTATCTGTTTTACACATGGTAGTGTATTTATGTCAAACCTAATCTCCCAACTCATCCCACCCTCCCCTTCCCCACTGTGTCCATATGTCCATTCTCTATGCCTATGTCTCTATTCCTGCCCGACAAGTAGGTTCATCTGTACCATTTTTCTGGATTCCACATATATGCATTAATATACGATATTTGTTTTCCTCCTTCTGGCTTACTTCACTCTGTATGACAGACTCTAGGTCCATCCACATCTCTACAAATGACCCAATTTCGTTCCTTCTATGGCTGAGTAATATTCCATTGTATATATGTACCACATCTTCTTCATCCATTCATCTATCATTGGACACTTACGTTGCTTCCATGTCCTGGCTATTGTAAATAGTGCTGCAATGAACATTGCGGTACATGACTCTTTTTGAATTATGGTTTTCTCAGGGTATATGCCCAGGAGTGGGATTGTGGGGTCGTAGGGTAATTCTATTTTTAGTTTTTTAAGGAAACTCCATACTGTTTTCCATAGTGGCTGTATCAATTTACATTCCCACCAACAGTCCAAGAGAGGGTGTGGAGAAAAGGGAACCCTCTTCAGTGCTTTTAAGTATACGTAGAACTAACAAAAATGAATCACACTTCAGGGCTTTTTTTTTTTTTTCCCCAATTTGTCTTTTAGGGTTTAAATCTCCCTGAGGTAAAAAAATAACCTTTTACTAATTAGAAATAAATGCATAGCTCAGGCTAAAAATAAATATTAAGTAACAGGTCTGGTTGAATTTACATTCCTAAATAATTACTCCTATTGAATGAGATGTGATTACAAATTATACAGCAATATTCTATTTCTACAATTTGATTTATGAAATTAATAGTTTAGACTAAATTTTAGATGTAAAAGAGTACAAATCATTAGTTAAGACATTATCTTTATTAGCAATAATAATAGCAATTTAAAAGAGGCACAGAAATAACCCATGTAGTTACTACACTTGAGAAATGTAATTCATGGAGAATAGGCTTTTACCTTAAACCAAATGCATAGAACAAAGAAACCAGAAATACCTAAAAGAAGTTGAAAAATTAGCCAGATGGTCAGGTAGCTAAGTCACTGAAATGATGTCCTGATGTTTAAATATATACAAATCAATATATTAAGGATAAAATGTGCCTTTTAGGTAACATACCGGCATGTTTTCAAAAAACAAACATCAAAACTTTTTAAAAATATAATTTGGAAAAACTGTCCCATTAAGAATGAAGTGCCTCTATGCAGAGTGCCAGGATTTAGAGAATCTAAAATCCAAAATACCACAACAATATGGTGTATGTTTAACAGCACAGATCGTGGTGAGATAAGCCTGACTTTGAATCCTGTCTCCCCTAATCTGGCTGTCTCTTTATATCCTTGAATTGATTTAGTTAAAGTGGGACTGTGGGGCTATAAGATGACTGCAGTCACAAAAGTACAGTCACAACTACAACAACTACTACTATTATTACTATCATCACCACAATTTAGTGAGCTGGACACTGTAAAGGGCATTTTACTTCTGAGCGCTTGTATCTGATGGGGATTAGAACGAAGTCATTCTGCCTCTGCGGTTAAAAGAAAATGGAGGCTCTAAAACTATTTTTCAATATTATACATGAAACAGGTGGAAAACCTATATCCATTTGACTTAGGAATCTCATTTCTTTTCAAAATACTATATTGCCTCTCAAGAGAAAAAAAAAAAAAAAAAGTACGATGCAATTTGCAACCTGCCTGGAATTGATGCAGTCCTCTGGGACTTCATTCAAAGCCACAACCAATGAGCAGAAAAATAACACTTTCAAGAGAAAGGCAATGCTTCCTACCAAATGATGAAGCGGGGACATTTTAGGTGATTTTTTCCCTCCTCTCTTCCAAAACTAAGTGGGTGTGTATGTGTGTGTGTGTTTGGGGAGATGGCGTAGGGATTATAGGCTTTCCTAGTCCACTTTTTACTGACTATATTTGTATTTGTAAAGCGTGGTGTATTCATTAGCACTTTCATGTAAGTTTAATACAAAATTTCACTAACTTAGTTGTTGAATATGATGACAAAATGGAAATGATACATAACACTCTTCACTTAATTCTATCACAATTAGGATAATCTATAAATTAACAGTTTAATTTTGAATCAATGCTTGGAAAATAAAAGAGACAATTATTTGAGAAGCCTGATTTAACTTGATTTATTCCTCAGCTTTTTAAGTACTTAAAAGAATGGCTATCTTTTTCATAAAGATATAGTTATGAAAGAGTGAAACAGGGTGAATGTAGTCATTTCTTACATTATAAATATGAAAAAGCTTTCCAGAAATTTGAATAAAAAGAATAGTTTATAAAAATGTCAATAATTGGTTTCATAATAATAAAAACATTTACTAAATGACCATTTACACTGAACACTGTTATATTAATTTCCTGCAAGGGGAGAGAGACTAAAACAGACTACATTGTTATGAGCTAACCTCCCTAGAAAATACTTGGAAAATCTAATCCATTACTCACTTTTACGCAGACCTTTCCTAAGTCATCCAGAAGAGATGAAAAGAGCTTTTTTTTTTGAAAAGAGCTTTTTAAAATAACTTTTTGTGTACTATACTTGAAGGCTATCACAGGATTACTCCTTTGCTTTCTCTATGTTTGTTAGACCAAATAATCTTTTCAAAAAGTCTTAGTCTAAGTTTTTTAAACAATGTTTTTGTCTTTCTTCTGACCCTTCCCAGGTTTTTTTTCCCCACACTGATTATGGTGAGGCCAAGGGGAAAAAAGGAAGAGAAAATGATTTCAATAAATTATAAACTGTTCCCTTTTTTATATCCTTAGTCCTTATTGAAGGGTAATAGATACCAAAATAGTATTTGCTGAGATGCACCATATTCTTTATGTTTGTAAGTTCTGATATTATGACAAGTAGGAAAGACAATAAAAACTAATTTTAAGTATGAAGAAATGTGAAAGTGCTAGTAACAAGCTGAAATACTTTGAAATGCTTTTACTTATTTCCAACACCTTTTCCCTTTAAACTAGATCATGATAGAAACATGTGATTTGTTATTTAGTTCATTTGGCTTTTTAAGTAGTAGACTCAGATGTTGACTCTGTTGTTTCAGTCCTTTGGGTGTATAATAATAACATGTGTAGGTTTTACATCAAATAATC